CAGAGTTCTGAGATTGTGGGCAAATACGGGTAGCAAAAGTAAAAAAAAATCACAGTGGACTTACAAGCCAAAGGCAGATACAGGAAGCTAGACAGTTCTTGAAAATCTGTGCTCACTGTACATTTTCTTCAGGAATTTTCAAGCTAAAACTAACTCCACGCCTACGAACAAGTAGTTACATACAGTACAATGTGTACATGTACACTGTACATGTACAATTTGTACATGTATGCAATTTGTACATGTACGTGCCTGCATTTTTTCAGTTTATGGTGAGTTTGCAAGAGATTGATGTGGGATAACTTGGTTGAATCTAACCTGTAAATGTGCACTTGTACAAAAACTTACATTATTTTCCTTCCTTTTCTGCCATCCTGATAATTATCCACCCTTTATACGTGCATGTGCCTGTCTGTCAACGCTTTATCCCAACCAGGCACATTGTATGCTGCACTGGCATGCTTGCACGCATAATTGCATTTATATCAACAAGACCTCACCCGGCACCTTGTTAGAAAATAATTGCAATGATCACGAATGCAAGGAGGTGCCATACAGCACATGGTTTTGGTTTTGATTAAGTCAACCTTACGTGACTGCCAGCCTCAATTAGCTAGGACAAGTCACGATCGCAGGCAGCCTCGTGCGACGAGGCCACCAAATTTCTACCAAAACTGAAGACAGGAAATTGGGGCCATAAGCCGGCTGATGCTGGCCTGTAAAAAGAAGCCATTCTTCTGCCCAGGGGGTCTGTGAGATATAATCTTGCAATCCAACACCAGCAATATTATTCCCTGAAAATTGTTAAAATCTGGAGAATGTTCAGGATGCAGGCCGGCCTCCTCTGGTGGCAAATGTTGGTCTCCGTTTTCAACCAGCTAAATAACTGAATTCATTAATGTGTCAATTTGGGGGTAACCATTCATGCTGGCATAATTGCTTTATCTTCTATTCCTTGGATGGGGTGCTGATAACATTTTGGCTCAGAAATTTCACAGTATTTTACAAAGGCAGTGCAATCGCATACATGTAGTGTGCCATGAAAACAGTGCCATCTTAAAGCATGACACATTTAAATGCTTGCTATGTATCGGCTATGTTAAAAAAGCTGAGGTATCACTGAAAACTGGCGAGTCCATCATTACATTGACTAGTTCCCTTTACTCTACCATAGCAATACAGCATACAGTGTACATGTACTGTACATGCATATCCAGTGGTACTACCTGCATACCGGTATGCTGGTGCTGAGTCAGGGGGATGTGATTTTTTTTTCTAAGAGCAATGGTTTATTGACTTTTCATCCGTAAAAAGAACCCCCACCAATTTTACAAAAAGATGTTATATGTAAGCACTTGCACGTCCAAAAGGAAAGTTGGTCAACTTGCCCCTTCACTGCTGTGTACCGTAGTTCCCAAATAAACTCACAGCTTGCAGAAAATTAAAAGTGCATGGACTTCTTCACATGACTATAAGCCATCAATTAACAACTACCGATGCTAAGAATAGTTCCGTGACTGCCGTATCTCTCAATGAAGATGTAAATTAAACAGGGTTTGCTTTCACAGAGATTTCTTCCTTACAAATATGTGATAATGGAAACTGCTTTTGCCCCATCTACATGTACATGGACATTTAACATGTAGTCCATCTGAATTAGGTTTGTTGAACAACAACATACGATGGGCAACAGTTCTCTTATCTGAAAATCAGTATTTGCAATTTCCAGAAACCCAAATGAGGCTTGATGACACCATGAACTTTACAGCATACCTTTTTGTTTATTGTTTATTTCTAAATGAGTAAAGGTACACTGAATGTACTCGTAACTTCACACTAAAACCAAAATAGGTTGAAAAGAGTGACAAGACAATTAAGGGGCAGGGGGAGTATGTTACTATACATGCAGTTTAAATGATATGGCACCTGGAAGGCAAAGGAACCACATGTACCAGTAAGTGGCAGGAGCCTACCGGTACATGTGAGTTGGTAGTCTCGGCAACTTAACATTAACAGCATCCTGCTTTACGGCATGTCAGATCAGGATAAGCCATGACTCATGACTTACATGTACATGTAAGTCTACATGTACATGTGCATGTACCTTCACATTGATACAAATTGTCAGGTGCCCAGCAGAAGGGCGTAAGCACACTTATGCCCTTTTGCCGGAAAGCATGATCACAGCAGAAAAAATATACCCGGCAAAAGGGCATAAGAAACACCCTCTCTTTATTTAGTAAAAATGGATATAATTTACTACAAAATCAACCTGGGCTGTACAAAAAGCAATCTTTGAACAAGTTATTATACTTGGGCATTTTTTTTTTTTTTACTTTTTGCCAAGAAATCTTCGTATTTCATTAAAGTGCTATAGTTGCATACTTCTGTTCTTTTGCCGGGAAAAGTTTTTTGCAGTGATCAGGCTTCCCGGCAAAAGGGTCTAAGCGCTTACGCCCTTCTGCCGGGCACACAACGAAATTGATGTTCAGCCCTTGGCTGTTCATGTACAGTACTGTAACTGGACGGAGGACATAAAGCGCACTTACCCCTTTTGCTGGGAATATGATCACTGCAAAAAAGACTTTTCCCAGCAAAAGGACCTGCATGTATGTATGCAACTGTTATATTTCAATGAAATAGAAAGATTTCTCTGCAAAATGTTAGAACAAAATTTCCCAAGTCATTCAGTAAGTTGTTCAAAGGTTGTTTTTTGTACAGCCTGTGTTGATTTCATAGTAAGCCTAAATGTTATTCGTTTTTACTAAATAAAAAGAGAGAGTGTGTTTCTTACGCCCTTTTTCAGGGAACATTTCTTTCTGCTGTGATCATTCTTCCTGGCAAAAGGGTATAAGCGTACTTAGGATCTTTTGCCGGGAACACTCAAGTATTGAGGATGACTTTCTATGCTGCAGTGTCTGATCTCAGCCTACCATCCTACATGATAAACTTGAGAAGAGAAAAAAATGAATGGCATTCCATTCAATCAACTGCATGTCTATAAGCACTGTTTCCAAAGGTCAATATGATGAGAACGCTGATCACTGAGACTGGGGACCCAATGATTGACCACCTGTAAAGGCCGAGTCAATTCAAGTGAATACATGTTGTTCAACCTTCCAATCAATCAAATATTCAAAAAGTCCTTTGTGCTTCATTTCTACAAAAGCAGGAACAAAACATGCATGTTAGTGCAAGAGGAAAGTTAAAAGTACTTTTTGGCCTGAAGTTATTAGTCATGAGGATTTAGCAATCTTCAAGCATACATGTACATGTAAATGTATACGCTTTAAAATGCTACCTGTATTTTGTACCAAAACAATTTAGGGAAGAGACAAAAAAAGCATTCTTTCCGGTTCCCATACGGGTTCCTTATTGCTTTTGTTTATTCTAAAAAGTCCCTGAGGTTGCAATCACTTCAACTTTATAAAACATGTACATTATCTTAAAAGAATATGGCTAAAATTTGGAGAGAAGAAATCAACGGCATAAGGACGAAACACTGTGACAAATAACACTGGACTAACTGTACATGTACATGGAAACCTTGTCTTGGATATTTTGATGTCTCAACAGAACCTTTCATTTTGCAAGTCAAGCATGCCTCATTTTAATATCCAAATTTTACTACAACCTCTTTACCTTGATATAAACCCGGCAAAACACGGAAAACTACATGTACATGTATGATTAAAAACATTTGGTAAAATTACAACAAAGACAAAGTTCTGTATCAAGAAGAAATGTACATGTACGGTGAGCAAAGATATGTACATCCATTGGACACTACTTTCTGTGCGTGGTTGATCAGAAGGGGTCCCGTATATTAAATTAACGAGTCTTCAGGCACAATGACAGCACTATTGTGTTGATGCACACCTGGCATGCATGAAGCGCGGTCCTCGTCTTGCAGGTAAAAGATTTTTCCATGTACATGTACCTTATAGGAAAGTACCGGTACAGGAAAGCATTCCTTCCTGCTTTAACACATGGGAACCCAAAGAAAGTTTTGCGTCTCTTCCCTACATTTTCCCCTTTTTGTTTCATTTATTTTTAACATCCAAAAATCTATGTGAAAAACAGATATTAAAATATTCGACATTTGAATAATCAGCACAGTCTTACTACTGGTACAGTGTTTGTGAATGAACAAACTCAGTGTCAAGTAAAGACGCTTTGCATTACACTTGACAGGCTGGCAGCTGCATGACGCGTAATGTGCATCACTACTGACTAGTCTTCCAATAATTTATAATATTTAACTACCGGTATTATGCATTTAGAATAAACATACAGGGCCTACATGAACATGCAGTACGGGTCAGAAAAGCAAAATTTTCCAATGGCATATACCCAGTACATGTAGCCTCCCCTCCCTCACCAGTAAAAGTACAGTGCACATGAACAATTTGTGCATATACAGTACATTTAAGTGCTTAATTTCCTCAAGGGTATAAGCTCATGCACAATTTACCAGGAGAAAAAATGGTCTCTGGAAACCTCAACCACAAAATGACAAACATGACATTATTGACTCCCTGGCCATGGGCCACAAGCATGATTCCAACTGCTGCTCACCACAAAATTACCACTTAATGTATCCACAAATGTTGACACAAAGTGTAAACCAATGTCAAACATGATTTGACATACAGTAAGCTGAGAGAAACCTTTGCTAAGCAAATTTTTCTGTTCAGCACAAACCACTGAGATTACACACTGCATGACTTTTGGGCCACCAACTGACAACCAGTAAACAGCAAATCACTTTGCATGACTTTTGACCACCAACCTGTTTTTGCTAAGCAAGGTTTTTTCTAGGCTAAGTGTTTGTGCTTTTAAAATACATCTACGTGTACTACACCATTAAATCAGCAGAACTCTACAAAAGCTCTGATGGCATTATCTCAGCTCTAAAATGGGATGTGATCTATTCCCAGCAGGAATTCTGGTACTAGTAATTTCTGGCAAACTCACAACGCTGACGGCAACTGACTTACTCTGATTCTTCGCATTGCTGTGACAATCTCCATTCGGCTGCTCGGTCGGGGAACATCAAGCGTGCCGATATACTGCAGAGACACAAATGAGAAATTAAGCAACACAGTCACAATCTTTTAATAACTTTGCCTGATTTTGAAACCTCGAAAAAAAAAGGTTATCAAAAGTGATGACTGCAAATGCAATTGCCAATACTGAATGCACACGCGTTTTGATTTTCTGCTAACATCCACGCACGCAGTACTCAATTTCATCTCAAATTTTGAAAGTGGTAACTTGAGCACTAGTTTTCTTCAGAGCTGCAGAATATGTACAATATAGGCTCATCAGTCATTATCGACTTTCAGCCCAAGAAATGGACAACCAAATGTACAAGTACTAGTACATGTTCATGATAACTTATATCATCTTTTACCTTGGATTTGTCATTCTGAACGTTAAGCAGTTTAACATCCTAAACAGTACTGATATCAGTAAAAATATAAGAGTGGTATACATGTACAACAGGGTGTAACAGCAATTCATTTTGAACCATTCCATTCTTTGTGCACAGTTTGGTACAGCCTACTTCGCATGATTTATTCCATTAATCCGGCATTTCTGGAAAACAAAGAAATGTGCAAACGTGTCTCAAATTGGTTGAACTGTCACATTGGCTGACCTCAGATTTCTAAGGTCAAACAATTGATCTCAGGACAAGTCGGGTGCATGTCTGCCTGAGTACAAAAGAGGTCAACCTGGCTGTCTGCATTCAGTGTGATCATGCTCCTATTTCAGACAAGAAAACAGCCTTCATGTACATGAACATAACATTAAATGTATACTGACTGGATATACATGTACATGGACTGACTTGCACCCATCACTGTGCATGAACAAACGGGGCCAGTAGTCTGTGACTCAGTTTTTAGGGATCTTCTCTTCGTCCATCGCATCATGTACAGTATCGTCGCGAAGCAGAGAGTGCTATAGCCCCGTTTGTAATGTTTCAGGTTTTTGATAAATGAGAACTAAATAATTGATGAGTTAAAGATTAATGTATGTGAAATATTACTTAAATATACGGGTACCCCTACCGTGAATGGGAAAAAATACACGAAATAACTAGTGACAATCATGATATGACAGCCCAGTGTGGAAAACATTGCAAGTCACTTTGTCAGGCCACACACATGGGTGCTGTAACTGAACTCTACGGACTCCAAAGATGGCACCTAACTGACTTCAAGCCCTTGGTCTCAACATGCTATGCGGTCCCCTCACCATTAAACTGACCAGATACATGTATATAAATACATGCAAAGGGGTGGGTGCTCTGGTCAAAAGCTGGCTAGCTTCTGTACACTACATGTACATGTACTGAAGTTTCCATGCATTGCAGGAGCAATTGGGGATAGCTGCGACAGTGTTCACAAATTAAATACGTCACTTTTCTCTGTGATGCACTTCAGTGCTTCAATAAACACTCCAATAACTCCACTAATTCCCCATATTTCCTGATCTTTGAACTCATTTGGAGATTTATTGCCCCTGTTTATGGCTTTCCATTGCCCCGAATTGACTCTCATTTCTACAGAGATCCCTCAACAATTTTGTGATATGGGACTTTTTTTCTTATTTAGATTTACATGTACGTGTACATGTACTGTATCAATAAATTTATGTGACTCTGGGAATAGACTTCTCAGACCCCAAAAACCTTCCAGTATTTTCACTGCCTGTGGCTTTTTATATGTACCGTACACTGTAGGCCCAAATGTTGTCATGATTTATGCTCCATTAAGCCTCTCCTAGACCTGAATGTACATGTACATGTACATTCTTGTAAATTTCCTATTCACCTCTACTCAAGTGAATCATGAAATAGCGAAATACTCCAACTGTCTCTCATCTGCCTGCCAGACACTATTAAGTGTGTAAACACATAACCGGTTCCTACTAAAGTGCAGGTGTATAATATTCACTCTTTCATTCATTACGGTTTATTTGAAAGAAGCATCAAACAAAAAGTCACATGACTAAAAGTGTTTGATTTACAAAAATTGAATACAAGACAGTTTAAAAGATAAATTTGATTAAAATAAATACATTACATTATAAAACACTGATGAAAACACCATTATGTAAACAAGTAAGTTTAAAACATGCCACAAGGGGGAATTAATCCTAACAGTCCCAAAAATAGCATCAATGTGCAAGGTGTAATGGACCGTGCAGGTCTTTGATGATGATTTGTGGACATTTGCTTGAGAAATGGGGAATTCTTTACAGAGACTGTGCATGCAGTTCTGCCAAGTTTCAGAATTTCAATGCGTGTCCATTATAATGCATAATCATATCATGATGTCATAATTTGAATAAAATATTCATGGTGATGTCATCAAAACCAAATGAAAGTAATGCATGAAATGCTTGGGATCTCTTCGGGGCTCGTTATAATCTTTTTTAAAAATTGCAAAACTAAATCACATTGCGCTATGTTTTCAACTGTGTCGTGAAAATGATGTTTTCAAGTTAAAATTTATACAAAATATCAATGAAAACATTTTGAAAAAGTTTGAACACATGGCCCATGTACTACATTCTACAGCGCCCGTCCAAGACGGAACGGAAAATTTGTAGCGCGGCACTACAGCATGCGTTGCCTATCTATTTATGCTGCATCCGGATCTGTTGTTTAGCCCTAGGTCTAGGTCTTCGATCTAAGTGGAGATGCTGAGAAAATAGACCTAGCCGAAGCTCTAGAAGCCGGTTTCGGAGACAGCCTACTAGACGTGGCATGAGTCATCAGTAGTGCATAGTCGTAAGTCAAGGCGCACGTGGCGACTCGCTCCATACGTGTACTCAGGATGCACACAATTCACGAGCTTTGCCACTCGCTCTGCACAGCCTGTTTTCCTCCTGTGTGCGCCATGTGTCCAGGTGAGCCTTGACTGAAGGCTATTACTGTAATACAGTGCAGTGCATGCGTGCAGTTCAGTATATAGAAAGCAAACTGATGCACGCGACCGACCTTGTTGTCCAATGCATGAGTTTTTGTGAATTATCGCCGCCATTTGCAGAATGTGTGAGATTTTGAGCTTCATGCATGTGAGCGTGAGATTTGGTCAAAATGCAAGTGTCACACGTGAGACTTGGCAGGTATGTGCATGGCAGCAATCTTCCCAATGACTGCGTCTGTTATGTACAAAATAAAATCTACTGAAGTATATCCCTGTGGAATAATGGCTACTGTGCACAACCTCTTTTCTAACCCTAACCCCCCCTTCAAGGGTTGCTGGCCCTAACCTTCCCCATTCACACTAAGTTAAACACCCATAGGGGACTTTGTGCACAGAGGCTGATGGACTTCGTTTTTCTGAGGTATGCCAAACCCAATGCAAAAGCCAGCTGTTNGAGATAAATTGGTGCGTGTGTTACACTGTGTCATCAAAAATTTGTTTCTAAATTTCTGGTGCTTTTCACCCTTACATGTGTGTCTCTTTTTTGTGCATTTTGGCAGTATTGGTTTTTCATTCAGCAGATGATCTGATGAGCAAAAGGTTTCAAAGCTTATAAGGAATGATCAAAGACCCAAGGGCAAGGCAGTGGGCCCCATTGAGTCATCAGTATTCCTATAGGAAACCTCTGGTAGGACTCAAGGCAGACTTTATGAGCCGGTGCCAAGAAACTTTCCCACTTGAGGGGATGTGACTCAATGACAGTCCTTAATGTGTCTGGTACATGTACAGTGAACACCCTATCTGGAGGAGGGAGGTGTCACCAATATGGCCGACCTGTGCTGTAAGAAACTACTGTACATGTACATGTACATACACGTACCTGCACATCATGTTTTACATGTTCGAGTTACACAGTGTCGTCTGTTTGCACAGCAGCATCACGCCCAGCAACATCCTACAAATTTTGTCCATATCCTGTCTGTAGATACTACTAGCATAAGGCCTTTGATCCCATGCATGAAGAAAACAACCCAAAACAGTATTTCTTAATATATACATGTACATGTACATGTATGTACACAAATATCCGGGTTTAAGGCCATTTTCAGGGGCTCAATCTTTAAATGCAAATGCAGTGAAATTCTGGAGAGGAGCATGTTTTCTTGTCTCCCTTCTCAAGCACTTCCATGTGCCGGGGTACCTAGTTTTGCCCGTTTTCCTCCTCTGCTTCTATGGGGGGAGGGGGCGAAGGGGATAAGGATTACTATTGTGGGGGGGAACCCCTCTACATATATATACATGTACGGTGCTTGCTTGGTTGTTCATGATACTATCCGTAGTACATACAGATGGCCTTTTCTCCAACTGTTAAGTTTATTCAAACCTGCACATGAACCGTGGAACAAAAATATCATATACATGTACATGTGCCATAAATGTATGTGTGTTGGATACCCCCATCAGCCATAAGAATAAATTACTAAAAATAAAGTAAGCACTGGTGGCTCTTTACGGTTTATAAGGCCTACAGAACGCATGATCTAATGCCCGATGACTTACGTATATCATCTCAGACTGGGTCATCCAGAGGTCGTTCTGTCTCATGCTGGCCACCAGCTCACGGTGGGAGGAGGAAGATCCCCGCCTACCAGCAGGGCCCAGGCTGGACTTGCGTCCATCCCCTAAGACGGACATCCTGGATGCAAACCTGTCCCACCAGGGTACAGGAACAGCAGATGGAGTGATTAGAAAGCTGGACTCACAGTTGGTGGTAAGCTGGACTCACAGTTAGTGGATGGTGGGTTCGAATCCTGGTCGCATGTGTACAATCTGCATGCAAGTGAGCCCTTGAAACTGGCCACTGACTCTCCAACATGGACGCAGAGCCACCAATAAGATGAACACAAGTTTGAAGTTCTCAACAAGACCTGATTTTCTTTCCCGCAAAGTACAAAGCAATTGCCAGTAGTTCACACACAGCTTAAGGACAATTCCAACTGTACTTCGTTATGGTTAAGAGGCTTGATCCGAACTCAAATGGCTACTTGTTTACATCCTGGCAAATGTATACACTTCATATACGTTTTCTTGAGGAGTTGTACACATTATCAGCACAGGTGTTAAACGAA